AGTCTATTGGCCCATCACTGTGGGCTTGTGGTGAGGAAGGGAGTGATCGCGGGTGTCATGAGACACAGCTGTCACCGCATGGCAGCCAGAAAAGCAGAGAGAGGAGAGAGAGAAAAAGAGAGAGAGTAAAGGGGAGAAGGACAAAATATACCCTCCAAAGGCAAGGCCCCCAGTGACCCATCTCTTCTAACCAGGACACCTATCCCTGCAAAAAACTTTCCACCACCTCCCAGGAGTGCCACCAACTGAGGACCAAGCCTTCAGTCCATCAGTCTTTGAAGGACGTCCATATCCAAACTCTAATAGTGGGAATGTAAAACAGGACAGCTACTAGGGAAAACAGTGTAGCAATGTCTCAAAAATTAAAACTAGAAATACTGTATGATCTATCAGTTCCACTCCTGAGAATATGCACACAGTGGCATATAATTCAACTTTTAAAAAAGGAAAAGAAATTCGGACTCACATTTCATCGCAGGTGAATCTTAAGGACATCATGCCAAGTGAAATACAGGAGTCACACACACACACACACAAAAACGAATATGATATGATTCCATTTAGACGAGGCCCTTAGGGTGCTCAATTTATAGAGACACAAAGCAGAACAGTGACTTGGAGGGACAGGACAAGGGAGGAATGGGGAGTTATTATTGAACAGGTACAGACTTTCGGTTTTGCAAGAGGAAAAAAATTCTGTGGTGGTGATGGTTGAATGCATTTGATGCCACTGAACTGTACTTAAAAATGGTTAAGATGGAAAATTTTGTGATCCACATTTCACCAGAATTGAAATGTGTTTAAATAATACAAAACCAATTGCATTAATATCATTTTTCTACAGCTGACAAAATTGTAAAATAGCCTAGTCAAAGACAGCACTCTGACAGAATCTGATGACCCCAGAAGTCCCCTAGACAATGCCCTGCAGTGCTTTGAAAGGACACTCATCTGCTCATTTCAAAGCCTTTCCCAACGTTTACTCCAGTGTATTTCTCTTCTTGTGCATGTAGGAAAGTTCTTTATACCTTGGAGGGGAATTGCCAGGTTGCAGATGTGTATGCCTTTGATATTCTGGATGCTGTCAAATTGTTTGCTGAAGTGAGAACTCTGCTACTTTACACTCGAAACAGCAGCAGAAGCAGAAACCCAAATGGCCCAGTAAACTTATAAAAAGGTGTTCAGCCTCGCTCGTAATCAGAACAGTGCAAATTGGAATGACTTTAAGAGCATTTCACCCTTAACAGTTTTGCAGAAATTCAAAAATCTGCCATTATCAAGAGTTGGCAGGATATTAAATTAGAGTCAGGAGTACCTCACTGAAGAATTCTAAAGCATGTGGCTTGGAAGAAAATACAGCAAATCCTACCACAGAGCCCTACTGCCAATCCTCCCTTGAGGAAGTAATGCCAGTCTCTTATACAAGATTTAAGGAAGGAAAAGTGCGTTGCATGTTAGGGAGGAAAGAAGATTTCAAAACCTCTACCTTTTAAAACAGTTCACTTTAAAGTCTGACTTTCAGGTCTTTTTATGGTCGATAATAAAATATGTATGACACAATGTTTTAAGAAAGATGCTGTTTACCAAAGGCACTCTTCAAATCCTGCAGGACAAAAATAAAACAGTGTCGGGGGTGGGGGGGAGTGGTAATGACAACAGATAAAGTGGGATTTAAGACAAAGATGAATTGAGACAAAGATTTTTTTTTAATAAACAAGGAGAAGCCTTAACGAAGGCACAATGTTCTCATATATTAAAGGGATGAATAATTTTATATCAATATATAAGAAGAAAACCTATTTAAATTCGGTGGAGATACTGACGGGAACACAATGGGAATGGTAGGGTAGGCCTTACCTCGTTTTTCTTGAGATTTCACAGCTAGAGTAGTCAAAACTGCATTGAGTAGGCATACGGAGAAATTCGTATGTGACTGAGTGAACATTATTTCAGATGTGCATGATTTTTTACAGAAATTGATCATCTTCTAAGCAGTAATAGAAGCTGTTTTCAAAAAATAAAATAAAATTTCTAAAATTCACATTTTCTGACCACAATAACAAAAGGAGACATTAAATGAAAAACACTCTTCCAAATAAACTTAGAACAAAAAGAAAAGAAAAAGAAAACCAACTCTTCAGTTGTAGAATATTTTTAAAATATTGATATGATGCAGCTAAATTTTTCCTCATGTGAAAAAACATGGCCTGAGAGCGGGGTGCTTCTTGCCTCAGTGCTGTTGACATTTGGGGGTGCAGAGTTCTGTGTTCAGGGGCAGGTTAGAGAGGAGCAGCATCCGTGGCCACCACCACTAGATGCCAGGAGCAGCCTCAGTTGTGAGAACCAAAAGTGTCTGCAGACATTGTCCAGCCTCCCCTGTGGGGTACCCTGGTTCCTGTTTGAAACCCTGCCCCAGATGCCTCTGTACCACAAAAACAACGAGCAAAGAAATAAACTGCTTCATTTGAAAAAGCTAGATAAAAAACGAATAGCAAAGGACACCTGAGATCCAAACAGAGAGGAAACAGAGTCCAACTGATAATGATCAAGAAGTTGCCAAATTGATTTTTTTACATATTAAGAACTGGTTCTTTTGATTGACAGTTAAGATATACAAGCTTTCGAGAAGAAAAATTTAAAAAGCAGTGTGCCTTGACAATAGTATACTTTAGAATTATAATTGTAATATTGTAATATTGAGGGATCTAACTACAAAAACCATAAAGTAGACTAAAAATATAGTAGTCTAGTGTTAAAATCTGAATGAAATGGATAATTATATATTGGAGATATATGTGTGTGTGTACACACACACACATATATCTTACCAAAACTGACTCAAGAAAAAATGGAAACTAGAATAGACCTATTATTCATGGAAGATATTGCAAAAACACACAAACAAAAACACTGGGCCTCCCAAGGCTTTTAATATTGTTAATATTTTAAAATTCTTTTAGTTGTAGTTGGACACAATCCCTTTATTTTATTTATTTTATTTATATTTGGTACTGAGGATTGAACCCAGCACCCAACACATGCTAGGCAAGTGCTCTACTTCTGAACCACAACCCAGCCCCCCTCAGATGGTTTTATATCTAAACAACACTTAACGTTTCTCTACGGCAAATATAATATCTATGCTGTATGTTATTCCAAGGTATAAAGAAAAAGGGAAATATTGTCTCAGCTCTCTTTTTAAAGCTGACCAAAATACAAACACCAACATATGATACAGATAATCCTAACAAATAAAAACTAAGAGATATGTAAAAGACATTCTCTCATAAATAAAGACATTCCAGATTCACAGAATATATAGGCAAGGGCAGCAATAGCAATATCAGACTCCGCTGAATTCAAGGAAAAAGTGAGACCAAAAATGAGACACATTGTAATAATAAAAAAATTGATGCATAATGAAGATGCAATTAGCCGTCTTCTTGCAATAAGACCCAACTTCTACCAAAACAAAACCTTTAAATATTAAAGGGAGATTTTGATGAATGCAGAAAACTCAGGGGCAAACTAGGCAAGCCCGTGTCAGATTGGAGCCAAAAAGTAAGAAAGCAGTCTAAATAATAATCACTGCTGACCAAATAGGCAATGTTATTCTGCTATGTTCATCTGCCAACAGAGCCCACGCTCAGCTTACAAGTACTATGGGACATGTGTGAAATTTCACTGTATTTGGATCCCAAGTAAAACCTTAACAAATTCTCAAAAGGACAAATCATTCACTTAATTAGTAGCAAAAGGAAAAGAAGCAAAATGAAATAAACCACTTAGACATCACAGAACTCTTCTTCAACAACTGTTGAGTCAAAGAAAAAAATCATAAAAATAAATACCTGTACATAAAATAAAGAACAACAACGCAATCCTTACATGATGAAGTCTGCGAGAGATGTTAAAACCATGCTCCGAGGAAAATTCACAGCATTAAACATATTACTAAAAATAAAGAATGGGAATAGATGATTTTAAATTAACAGGCTGTTAAAAAGCAGATGGAGGGATTAATAAAGATAAAATGAATATTAACATTCATTAGAAGACAGAGAAGCAGAGGGATGAATTTGAGATCTGGTTCTTTTGAGGGGGGAACAATATACCTGAAACTGAAAGCCCGTTTAGTTTGCCTAATACAGAAAATGCAGATATTTAACATTAGAAACTAGAAAGAGGAAACAATCACAGATGCAGAGGAAATAAACATAATTATGAGTGTGCGAATTGGCCAGCTTCACGGAAGCGCAGGTGTATATACGATGCATGGGGGGAGAGGACATGCCGATCTGTGTTTAGTATTGAGAAATTCTCGTATGTACCATCAGTGGCTTCTTGAATTCTGAAAATAACCAGTTGGAAAATATCACGAGAAATGAAGCTAATAGGAAAATGAGGTATAGGAAGAAAAGTGCTAAACATTATCGCAAGATTTATTAATTCAAAGAATTGAACAAATGCTTCTGTAACCCAGGGCTTATGACATGCCAGACATATTTGATCCTTAACCACCTGAGAAGGTAGGTTTGATTTTATCTTCATTGTACGGTTGAAAACAACTGAGGCACAGAGAGGTTAAGTTAGTCGGTCAAAGTCACTTAACTGCTGGTCAGGGCTAGGGCCAGGCTGATACAATGGCATCCAACATCTGCACTCCTTGCTATTATGTTGCACAGTGAACTGATGCAGAGATGTGTTCCAGGAGGGAAGATCGATATCATAAAATGATCATTCACAGCTGGGCGGAACACTCTGGCAAGGGCTCAAGTGCTGTCTGTCCAGGGTGAATGTCTACAAAATGGCCAGCTGCCAGGGAGCTCTCGTTCCCCCACACGTGCTCCAAATCATGCAGAGGTCTAAGCAGAACGGAACTACCCCTCAGCACAGAGCTGGGACCCCCACCATCTCATCTGAATGCCCCCTGAGTCCTGCGGGGCAGATGTGAGGGTGCCGCAGGCCAGGTCCTTCTAACACAGATGCCCTGTCCTTAGATCCAGGAGATGGTGCACTCGGAGGTCGCTGCCTATGACTCAAGCCGGCCAGGACCTCTGCTGGGTCGCCCCGCGATGCTGGCCAGCCACATGAGCGCCCTCAGCCAGTCCCAGCTCATCTCCCAGATGGGTATCCGGAGCAGCATCACCCACAGCTCCCCGTCACCCCCAGGGAGCAAGTCGGCGACCCCCTCTCCCTCCAGCTCCACGCAGGAGGAGGAGTCCGAAGCACATTTCAAGGTATGCAGGGTGGACAGCAACGCTGTCAGATGCCCTCCCATCTGTGGGGACGGGCCCTGTGGGGACTTCACTCTGGAAAAGACTGGAAGGGGGCCGTGCCCTTTGCTGGAAACCAAGGAGGAAGAGATGAGCAGATGGGTCAGGTGGGCAGGAGCAGTTAGTCATCAGGGAGCACCCAGGGGACCTAGGGACACCAGGCTTCAGGTGCTAGATCTCCCGGGCACTGTTGGCAAGCTCAGCCTCAATCCCAACCCTCACACACGCAGCAGAGACCCCTCTAACCGTGTTGAAGGATGGCGGGAGGAGATGTCACGGAAACAGGGCCAAGTCTCATTCCTGATGGCCAGCGAGTCTTTTCAGTGGCATCGATGACATCAGCAAGAGCCTCAGGGCCTGGTCTCATGCCACTTTGGCCTTTGAAAGAACTTTTTGTTGTTAAATATTGCTCACAAAAACATTGAAATATTTGGACAAATATTAATCGTATATTTTTATGGGGTGCACAGTCGTGTGGATATATGACATGGAATGACTGAATCAAGCTAATTAACATAGCCCTCACTTTAAAAACTTATTCTGACAAAAATGTGTAGTCCAACAGAGGTCCTCTGGGCCTAGGGCATTCCACACTGACTGGGGATGGGGCATGAAAATGGTGTGGGGGTGCACCCTCTCCCAGCACCCCTAAAGTCCACAGGTGGTAGGCCTCTTCAAAATATCAGGGATGAGAGCCGCCACCTGCCCACGCCCTGGTCCTTTGCAGGGACCCCAAGGCTCCTCCCTATTAGAGAGCTTCTTTTTTTGCTGGGCACAGAGGCCCAGAAAGGTCAGAGGCAGGAGTTTGTATCCAGAATCTCCCATGAGCCAGCGGCAGAATGAAGAGTTGGCCCACGACCCTGCCTCCATGGCCCTGTGCCTTTCTTCCTCACAAGGACCTCTCCACGTAGTGCTGAAGGACTGAGGCTTGGCGTGGTGGGTGGCTGCAGAGGGGACTCCAGCACAGAAGAGGTGTTCTGTTCCTTCCCTCCCTGTCCTTCAGACATGGAGGTCTGAGTCTCATCCTCTGGCCTCTGGTTTCCTTACCTACTCATGGTGTCACTGTCATCTTCTTGGCACACTGAGTCAAAGACTTTACAGCAGGAGCCAGGACCATGGACCAAAGGCCCCTGTCCTGGTGTGGCCTGAGGGTCCTAACTGATCCACTTAGGTCTGTGGGGAGCATCTCAACCCACTCCCCATCCTGGAAACCCTAAGTGGGATTGTGATCCTACAGCCTCTCTCGATGGTCCCCAGCTCCAGGGCTGGTCTGATGATGTCACATGAGCTTCATCCCTTCCCACCAACTCACGGGGGCCAGGGGAGAGCCACCTGCCCAGAGTTGCACAGCAGCTACAGGTTGGGGGGACTGACCTTTTATGATCAAGGGAAGCTTTGGAGAGTGTTTGTAATCACATGGTGGAGGGAGCTGCAGAGGAAGAGCAGTTAAGAAAAAACACATCTGAAACTTAGAGATGGCCCCAAAGACCCCACAGCCTTACAGGGTCAGACCCAAACATGATCTAACAGGCCACTCAGGAACCCCTGCTTCTCCAACAGAATGTGTCTTTGCTTTGACTCTTGTTTGTTGCTGATGAGGGAATTTTGCAAAGAAAGACGTTAACTTGGGGGAGGGGGAGGGACAGAAAAGCAGGTGCCGTGGGCAATCCCAGCAGCTCAGGAGGCTGAGGCAGGAGGATTGCAAGTTCAAAGCCAGCCTCAGCAACTTAGCGAGGTGCTAAGGAACTTAGCAAGACTCTGTCTTAAAATAAAAAATAAAAAGGGCTGGGGATGAGGCCTCTGGGTCAACCCCTGGCACCAAAAAAAAAAAAAAAAGAAAAGAAAAGAAAAGAAAATTGTAAAGCTTGATAAAGACACAAATGATTTCTGATCAACAGAAGAGATTAAAAATCCATCAAGATTAAAAGTCTACAGGCACTAGCCAGTTTCCCATGCGATTTAGTCACCTGGATCAGCAGTCAATTTTTCTGGCACCACAGAGGCATCTAGATTTCTCCGAATCAACTTTCCACTTGTCCTGGTTCTCTTTGATGAGTTAAACCAATACCCAGCCTCCTACCCAGGCTGTGTGTCTCTTTCTCCCCGGGTGTGAGCCAGGCTGGACAGGCCCATGGTGGGATGCTGAGCAGGGTCCAGCCCCTGGAGCTGGGTGGGGCGGCCGCGGGCAGGAGGTTCAGCTGGTGTGAACCTGACTCCTGTCACCTGGGCAGATCTCAGGAGAGAAGAGACCCTCTGCAGACCCAGGAAAAAAGGCCAAGAACCCAAAGAAAAAGAAGAAGAAGGACCCCAATGAGCCACAGAAGCCCGTGTCGGCCTACGCACTCTTCTTCAGAGACACTCAGGCTGCCATCAAGGGGCAGAACCCCAGTGCCACCTTTGGAGATGTGTCCAAAATCGTGGCCTCCATGTGGGACAGTTTGGGAGAGGAGCAGAAGCAGGTGAGCCTCCATCCCTTTCCGGGCCACACTCAGGGCAGACTTTGAAGGTGTGAGGCCAGAACCAGCCTTTGGGACCAGAGGCTCCTGCAGAAGGCACTTGGGCTCAACTTGCCCATCTGTAAGCCAGGAAGCTTGGTCCCTTCCAGCTCTACTATTGTGCGGTTGCATTCACCAATGATTTAACCATTCTATATTCTACTTCCTGTCCATGAAATGGTCAGAGTTGGCCATTTAACTCAAGTCTGAAGTCCAGGCCAGAGCTTCCTGTACCCCTAGCCATGTACCTCTGGCCCCCTCTAAAGGCCTCTGGGGAACAGCACACAGAGCTAGCTTATATGCAGAGCAGTTACCAGCTGTGCAACCTCAGAGTGACTACCTAACCTCTCTGAGCTGTAAAACAAGGAAGATGGCTCCCATTCTCTGAGCATGTCTGGGCTGAGCTCTCATGGCTGAGTGACCATGACCTCACTGCATCCTTGCAACACCCCATGGAGTGGCCATCGCTTGCCTATTATGATATGAGGAGATGGAGACACCAGAGGCTGACCTGTCCCAGGGCACCATCCTGAGTCAGGTTGGAGCCAGGACTCGCACTCAGGTCTGTAGAACCAGGAGGCTCCGTTGGGTTGTTGGCCTAAGAGCAATTAATCCAGTAATCAGATAAGTAAATGTAAAATGACACTGGTGACTGTGTCACATGCCAGGAGGGTCCATGAGAGCAAAAAGGGAGGGAACAGACTTAGTCCTGGGACAGGGACTACGTTGCCAGGTGAGACCTGAAGGGTGGGCTCCCTTGGCCAGGGGAGCTTTCCGGCAGGGGAAGCCGTGCTGACAAAGCCTGGTCCAGCAAGTGCCTGGCCCTGGGAGTCCAGGGTGGCTAAATGCAGAGACGGAGCTGGAAGGTGGGCGGGGCCAGGGAAGGGATCAGGTCCTTGTCTGGCTTCATGAAGGCTGGTAGAGTGGACATGGCAGGCCCCTGTCAACTAGGTGGGAGATGACAATGGCTGGGACCAGGCAGATGGGGGGGGCAGTGGATGCAGAGCTTTGTGGGGACTCATTTTGGAGATTCTGTTCTGCTTTCTGGGTGGGTGGAGACGCCATACGCTGAGACGGGGACATGGGGAGAGGAGCAGCAGCCTGGGCTGGAGAGAGAGACAGTCAATGTATTTATTTGAAATGCTTTCTCTATCAGACTCTAAAATTTAAAACACCTTTGGGCTATAGGCCAGGGCAGTGGCAGAAGTTTATTTGGGAGGTGAAACAGGGAAGGAAGGCAGTGACAAAGGGCTCCTGTCGGGCATCCCCACCGTGGTTCTGGAGCACAGTCCTGCCCCAGAACTCAAGCCAGCATAGAACCTGCAGGGTGAACTGGCTAGCCGCAAGGCTGCAGGGCGCCAGCCTGTCAATCACTGAGTGAGGGCAGCTCCAGGGGACAGGACTCTCCAGCTCTCTAGCCACCACCTCCACACAAGTGGCAGATGAGGCTCCTTCTGCTAGAGAACCCTGGGGCCAGGGGATGCTTGGTGGCGCTGGGCGTTAACTGGGCTTTTCTGCAGTGCCGAGGACCAGAGGCATGGCAGGTCCTGCCCTCTTCTGCCATAGGGACCATAGTTTCCATTTGGCACGCTCTGGCATGCGTCTCCCTTCCTATGATGCCGCTTTGTGTGGGGGAGGGTGTCCTCTCCCTTTTGAGCAGTCTTAGGGGGATAGGGATCTCAGGTCCCCTGTCTCTGAAGGCTCCGCCCACTATTCCGGCACATCCAGTGCAGCCCAGGGGCAAGCGAAGGTTGTTGAGAGTCTGACCTCCCACACTGTCCTGTTTATTTGTATTTATTTGTTTATTTGTTTCAGTGATGGGGATTGACTCCAGGTCCTCGTACATGCTAGGCCAGTGCTCTATCAGCTGAGCATTACCACTGGCCAAGCCTACAATACTACATGTGAACCTAGGTCCAAAATTCCTGATAACAACATGAGCAAATATAAATCCAGACTAAGACACTGAACAAGCAGGGTTCATGCCAGCATGCAACACTGATAAATGTGCATCACACTGGGTCAGAAGAGAGGTCTTCCAGAAGCTTCGTCTTTCTGAAGCCAATGGTACTGATGTCCAGAGAGGTGAAGCATGTTTCCCTGTCCTCCACACTGTCTGTGCAGCCCAGAGAGGGGCCAGTGGGTGACTGACCCATCTTCTGATCACACTGCCCTCATCCATACATGGCCCTAGAATCCACGCCTTCTCATCCTGGGCTCTGCATTGTGACCCCTCTGTGACATTCTCCCGGTTGTTGCCCATGTCTTGGATTTTCCAGGCCTACAAGAGGAAGACTGAAGCAGCCAAGAAGGAGTATCTGAAGGCTCTGGCAGCCTACAGGGCTAGCCTTGTCTCCAAGGTAACAGGATGCCTAGGTAACTGAGAAGAGGGATGGCACCAGAACTGGGGCCCATGGGAACGGCCGGCTCTAGGGGCTTGGAAAGGCTGGGTGAGACCTCTAGGTCACACCTGTAGTGCACCGCCGTGCACCCGGCCCACGCCTCATGTGCATGGTGTTCTGCTGAGTTCTTCCAGCCAGAGCCCAGCAGAGAGAGGGGCCCATACAGGGGCATAGAGGCTGGGGAGGGGCATAGCCAGAGGATGCTTGCCACAACCCTGGCTTTGCTGCAAGACCCAGGACCATGGAACTCCCCCAGGGGCGTGGGGCCACGCAGGGATAAAAGTGTGGGTGGGAGCTGGTGGTGCACACCTGTAATCCCAGGGGCTCGGGAGGCTGAGGCAAGAGGATTGCCAAGTTCAAGGCCAGCCTCAGCAACTTAGCAAGGCCCTAAAAAACAACTTAGTGAGAACTGTCTCTAAATAAAAACTAAAAAGGGCTGGAGATGTACTTGTTGAACTCCATCTGGCTCAATCCCCAGCATCCAAACAAAAGTGGGGGAGATGGCAGGTGGCCTGGTCAAAGCTGTGGCTGGCTAGTCCACAGCTCACAGCTCTCCCCAAAGGCCAACCAGGACACCCTGTTCTCACAGCCCAAGTCCTGGCTTGTCATCACTTCTCCAAAGTAACTGGTTTTCCTCTCCTTCCAGAGCCCCCCGGACCAAGGCGAGACCAAGAGCACTCAGGCAAACCCCCCCGCCAAGCTGCTGCCCCCCAAGCAGCCCATGTACTCCATGCCGGGCCTGGCCTCCTTCCTCACGCCCTCTGACCTGCAGGCCTTTCGGAGCGGGGCCTCTCCCGCCAGCCTCGCCAGGACACTGGGCTCTAAGTCCCTGCTGCCCGGGCTCAGCGCGTCCTCGCCGCCACCGCCTTCCTTCCCGCTCAGTCCCCCCCTGCACCAGCAGCTGCCCCTGCCACCCCATGCACAGGGTGCCCTCCTCAGCCCACCTGTCAGCATGTCCCCGGCCCCCCAGCCTCCCGTCCTTCCCACACCCATGGCACTCCAGGTGCAGCTGGCCATGAGCCCCTCGCCTCCAGGGCCACAGGTAAGCAGGGCTGAGTATGGCCCCGTCTTCTGTGACCCCTTCAGGAGAGGGGAGGTGGCTGCAGAATTCCAGTACTGGCCTCGGTTTTCCCATATCTGAAATGGGTCTCCTGTGCCGTGCCTGCAAGGCAGGGGCTGCAGTGAACATTGCCAGTTAGATCCCTCGGCTCTCCCAGGGCCCCTCTCACCCTCCGTCCACTTGAGCTTTCTGGCCTGAGGGGCTGAAGCCACCGCTGCTTCTGCCAGATCGGCCCAGCCCCTGGCTCCCCTGCAAGCCCTTGAGGCCTGAGCCCCACTGAGTGCCCCAGAGCCTGTTCCGAGGCCCACGCTCAGCCCGGTCCCTGCATTGACAGATTGGGAAGCTGAGGCTCAGGATAGGAAAGTCACCCCCTGGTTCAGCTAAGACAGAGGTACTTTTCCAAAGGTGCTCCATGGGAGCAGAGTGGACCTCCTGTGAGCCCCAGGAGGAGTCTCTGCAGAGGGGACGCCCTCAGACACAGGGTGACTGCACCACCCCGGCCTCCTGAGTCAGGCCTCCCCTGGGCCTCTCTGCACTCACATCCCTCCTTCCCCCATAGGACTTCCCGCACATCTCTGAGTTCCCCAGCGGCTCGGGACCCCGCTCACCTGGGCCATCCAACTCCACGAGCAGCGGGGACTGGGACAGCAGCTACCCCAGCGGGGAGTGTGGCGTCGGCACCTGCAGGTCAGTCCCCATCAGCCTCCATGGGTCCTGCCTTTGTCCACCCACCCAGGGAGAATGGAAACAGGGACAGAGGAGTGGCCCAGGAGAACATGGAGCTGTGTCATCAGCCCTGCCCAGGGGATGCTTGGAGCCTACAGGTAGTGCAGAGCAAAGCAGGAGTCCAGCGCACTCAGCCAGCCTGGCGCCCCGGCCCGCTGGGCACACCGAGGCCACCTTTATTCCTTCTGTCCTGTTTTTTCCAAAAAATCTTCCATATGACATTCCCAGGTAGGCCCCGTGCCTTAGGCCAGGCTCCCTAGAAGCAGAGTCTAAGGTGGTCCTTGGAGATGCCTGGAGGGCTTGTGGGAGAAGGGGGCGAGGAAGGCCAGACGGGGCAGGGGAAGGGGCCTGCGAGGACGTGCCCTCAGCTGGACACTCCATACGGCCTGATCCCATGGGAACCCTGAAGCAGGATTGGTGGCACAACGCAGGTCCCACCAAGAGCCCCTGTCAGTCAGCCATTGGCTACGGGCTGCCCACAGGCCCCAGGGGGCCCCCGTGGAAGGCGGGTCTTCTTCGCCATGGGCAATTCCCTAGAGAAGGGGACGCCGGGGTGTGCAGGAGCTAGATGTGGTCCCCTGGGAGAAAGGGCCAACTGTCCAACCCACGAAGCCCCCACCTTAGAAGCCCCCCAGCCCTGCAGCAGCATCCTCTCCCCAGAACCACCCGGCTCTCTCTGGTCCACCTCGCTAACTGCCCCTGCTCCAGAAAGCCCCCTTGGAGCCAGGCCACACCAACTCTAAGGCAGAAGGACTTGGTTTTAGCCAGCAAGAGGGAAAGACGGGACAGGATGGGGAGCTTCAGCCCCCACCCTGCCAGCCGGTCCCCGTGCCCTGGGCAAAAGCGAATCCTTAGGTCCTGGGGGACTGTGGCCTGGGCAGATGTCCTGCAGAGCCCCACGCTGTGAAAGGTGGGGCACTAGTGCTTAGTAGAGGGGTGGCCAGCTCTGCCACCAGGCAGCAGCCTCCCCAGCCCTGCATCGCTCTTGCCACACAGGATACTGCCGGGCACTAGTGACCCCACACACGCCACGACAGCTTCTGCATGGGTGGCAGACCCGCTGCACAAGGACGCCCTTCCCCTAGACCGCCTCTCATCAGCCCCTTCCCCTCACCGCAGTTCCCTTCCCCAATGTCAGGGTGCCAGGGGCAGGAGGTCCTTCAGGGATGTGACCCTGTCCCAGCCTTCCTCGGGCCCACCCTGTGCCCAGCACGGATGTTGGTCCCTATTCTAAATCCATAAAAACCACCTGCCGCCTGTGCTTCTGTTTGGAAGTGTACAAATGAAACATGGTGGTCACAACCTGCCATGAGAGCCCTGAGGACCTTGGGATGGGCTTCCTTGAAGGGCAGACGCACGCTGCCCTCTTCCTGGAGCTGAGGATGGCACCCCCGGGGAGGATCCAGGAGGGCCCTTTGGTTCAACTGGGTGGACAGCCAGGAGGACCCTGGCCATCCCCAATTTGACCTCAGAGGGGCAGCTGGTCAGGGTGAGGGGCGAAGGGCCAGAGCACAGGGCCCTGGGGCTCCCTGGCCCGCGTCACAGCGCCAGGGGGGCGCCCAGCAGCTCTGATGGCCCCTCTCTCTCCACAGCCTGCTCCCCAGGGACAAATCGCTCTACCTCACCTAATCCCGCCTCCCTCCCCTCCCCGAGGCTGGCTGGAAGGGCATGTCAGAGCCAGGAGGGCTGCCCACAGCAGAGAGGCCGTGGCAGGAGGCAGGGTGACCGGCCAGCATAGCAGTGACACACCTCTGCCCTGGGCTGAGTCTCTTCCTCGACCTCCCGCCAGACTCTGCAGAGGCAGCCCGCTGCCCGGCGCCCGCCGGAAGAACCTGCAGGAACCTTCTGCCCGCTGACCTGCTTGCTCCAGGGTAACCGCGGACCCTGCTCCTCGCCCTGCACACAGTCCCCTCTGTCTGGACGTCTGGCCCCAGCCCAAGCTCACTGGGCCACCCTGCCGGGGTCACTGACCAACAGAAACTCGCCCCAAGATGCGCAGCCAGGGGCCGGCCCAGCCACAGACGCGCAGGTTTTCCAGTGTGAACTAAAGATTCCGAGCCCCACAAACTGTGGGCTCCGTGTAAGTAGTCAACTAAGTGTTTTAGAACTGTGCTGAAGACATCTGTAAGATTATTTTGTGGGGGAAGAAAAGTAGTTTCCTTTAAGGTACAAAGCGTTTTATATGACCCTTAGCGCATCGTTTTTAAGTTTTCTCTTGAGGGAGACGTGCACACAGCAGCTGGCACAGGGTCTCTCCATGCGCACCCGAGAACCGGACAACGTCTAGCCCCACCGGGAAGCATTTCCCCTTTATTTTTTTGTAAACCATATGTCCACCTATTTAAAATTGCCAGCAACAATTTTATTTCTTTTTGTCTAGCTATTTATGAAGAAAACTTGAGAACAAAGTTGCAGTTTATCCTAACGTGTGCGTGGTTTGGGGTTTGGTTTTGGTTTTGGTTCTTGGCGTCGTTTGCAGCTGTATCCTGGCCCGGCAAATGTCTGTCTTGGTGCCCAGTCCTTCTCTCAAACTCTCTTTATAATAAAACTTCTGAAAAGTTGCAGATAAGTCTGTGTCTTCTTGCACTTTGTTAAGCCAGGCTGGGCCCCCTGTGAGGTGGCATTCGGTGGTGGCTTGGCCAGGAATGAGCCCTATGAGGAGAGACTCTGGTAAAAGTTCTATCTGCCCCTTAGCAGCTCATTGGGCCCGGCGTGAGGACACATGCCTGCAGTCCTATCGACTCAGGAGACTGAGGCAGGAGGATCGCAAGTTCCAGGCCAGCCTCAGCAGCTTAGTGAGACCCTGTCACAAAATTAAAAAAGGGCTGGGGATGTGGCTCCGGGTTAAAACACCCTTGGATCCAATCCCTAGTAACCAAGAAAGAAAAAAAGAAAAGAAAGAGAAAAGCAGCTCTGTATGTGGATGATGGGAGGGAGATACAAAACTTAGCCCAGTTCACGGCACATAATAAATGCTGGATGAATATGTGTTGGCTGTGTGGGGGATACCACACCCAACAGTGCGGCTACATGGGAAGCTAAACAGGCCTTACCATGTAAAACTTGCCCCTCCAGAAACTGAAAAGTGTCCATCAAATTCCTGCTGCCCCAAAGAGTACCCCACATTTAAGTACATTCTTAGGAAACACTCGTATAATCAGGTTTTTTAAATAAGAATTCAGTATGGGGCTGGGGCTGTAGCTCAGGATTGAGCGCTTTCCTCGCATCTATAAAGCCCTAGGTTTGATTCTTTTCCACCAAAGAAAGGAAAAGAAAAGAAAAAGTCTTCAAATAGAACTCATTGTGTGGTGTGCGAGCCAACATAACGCCTAGGGAGAAAATTAGTGAGACAATAACAGTGCGGACCCACGGTGTGGGGCTATGGTGTGCAGTCCACTCCGGGGAGGGCACTCATGAGCAGGTGATGGAGGTGAGTGGTGGGAATGGGGGTGGGGGTCTTCAATACTGTCTGCAGGCAGCACCAAGGCCAAGGACCCCTTAAACCAGGTTTCCCAGCAGACATGGAGGTGGGGCAGTCCTTAAAACCAAAAGGAATAGTGATGTGACTAGGTTAAGTCTGCCTGGGAAGAGCACGTGCCTGGTTGGGGGGTGCAGATTGGGAGGCTGAGGCTGTCACCCCCTGTGACACGGCTCTCAAGGTGGGAGCTGGTGCTCCCTGCTCTGGCTCAGGCCCACAACCTAGAGGTTGGGCTCTTAGGGCCTCTTCCTGTCCATCATGGTGGCCTCCTCCTTCCAGATGATGCCCCGGAGGGACAGTCTCACCATGCGCAGTGCCCTCACTGGAAGACATACGGTAATCCACTTTGGAAAAGGTAAAAAGCAAACCCCAAACAAACCAAAACAACATGCTGCCTGTCGCATCAGCAGCGGCTCCGCCACATGGAGCGTAAATATTTCATGTGGTTCCAATTTCCTCCCCTGCATGGAGCTTGTCGGAAACACAGCGACGGCTTGGGTGGTTTAATATTCCGCTCTCGCTTTCACAATGGAGAGAACAGCGTTGTTGAGATCCACGCAGACAGCCCGAAATAATGAATGACAGGTCATTGGTTTCTTCCTGGGAGAGCCCCTCCTGCCATGCCATCACCCACCGCGCTAGCTGCTCAGGGTCATCTGGAAGCGACCACTGCCCAAGCTGCCTCTTGACTGTCCAGGCTACTCCAAAACCCCCACACAGAGTCTAAGCAGCTGCCCGCAGATATCAGGGGGCTCTGGCGTGGGTGTGATGTGTGGCCCCAGAGAATGGGAACAGAGTCAGTGGGTCAGGTGCAAAAGGCTGAGTGACAGGCCATGGAGTGGACACCAACTGTCCTCTTCCATTGGTTACTGTAACAGAACACCACAGGCTGGGCAGCTTATAAACACCAGGAGTCTTTCTCACAGCTGTGGAGCTGGGAGATCCAAGATCAAGGTGCTGGCCATTCCTGAGTCCAGAGGGAGCCTCCTTCCTGGTTCACGGATCTCTGTCTTCTTGCCATGTCCTCCCATAGCAGAAAGCCACGGGAGCCCTCTAGGGTCTCTTTTAAAGGATCTGAAACCCTATAATCAAGGCTCCACCTTCAAGACCTGAGCATCTTCCAAAGGACCGGCTGCCACATACCATCACTTTGGGTTTAGGATTCCAACACATGAATTTGGGGGAACATATGTTTGGTCTCCAGACATGGTTATGCCCCACCCAGGTCTCCTGTAGTGGCCAGATCCCATTCCCCACCGTGGGAGTGGTGGCTGCTCTGCTCTCAGTCACAGCTGCCACCCTGCCCTGTCATTCCCCTGTTTGGGAGGTTAGGTCCCATCCCCCAGAGCTGCCCACTGCTGGTTGACCAACATGGAAAAGCCCCATCTGCGTTCCAGATCTCCCCGGGAGATCAGGCCTGGGCAAATCTCCAGCCCATGGGCCTCGCTCACTCCTGCCTGCTCTGACCACTCCACACCCCTCAGAAAGCCCCCACTCAATAAACCACCTGGCCAGAATCCCCCCTCAGGTTCTGCACGTCTCTAGGGAAACGCACCTCAGCTGACAGCTGAGGTTGTGGGCACAGAAGGGCCACCTCAGTGACATTCCATTGATTTTTTTTACTGGCTGTGGCCCAACTGCAAATGCAAGACTTTCAGCCGCTGAACACCAACCCAAGCCTCACCCAAGGGCAATCGGTATCCACATCTTTCTATTTCATCCGGCAGTGATGGCCTCCGCCAGGGAGCCAGAGAGGCAGCCCTGGTGTCTTTGCCCTGGATGCACTCACCCTGTCTCTGTGCCTGAATCTGCCAAGCCTGCACCCCACAGCCTTGCCATGGGCCCAAGAGTCCTGCAGCTGCAGTTCCCTCCATCCACCAGGCCCAGTCTATGGCCTGGACCCTTGAGCAGTGGCCCGACATTGTGAAAACCTTCAACTGCTGCCTGCAGCCCCCTCCATTGTCCACAGAGCTGGTCCAGGAACCAGCACCACCCTTCACCCCTAGGTCCCTCTCAAACTCCTCCACCCACATCTCCCCCGCAGACATCCGGAAGTCCTAGCGGGGAGCACACCTGGGGTAAAAAGGCACAGACAGATGTTCAGTGGATTTGCAGACAGAGCCCAAGATGCAAAAATTCAACTTGTTCATTCAGCAAGAACATGAAACCGAGGGGCTGAGCCCTGGGGAGGCCAGGCGGAGTCAGGCAGAGTCTGCCCCTGGGAGCTGAAGGTCATTGAGGAGGTTGGGAAAGAAAACAGTAATATTAAATATGATATGTCAAGAGCTCTGTAATGTTTTGAACAACCAATAAAAAAAGAAAGAAAACAGTAATATTTAATTAATTATAAACTATAACTTTATTTTCTAAACCATAAACATATAAACTTAAAAATACCACGGGACCTTGCCAAAAGGGAGCCAAGAGATGCAGAAGAGGGGCACCCTATCCAGCCGGGGTCTCGAAGGCTTCCTGGGGCAGGTGACACCTGGTCTGTGCCCCATCAGTGGTTAGAGTTGGGCTAATGTTACAGTCGTGGTTGGGGTCAGTGTGGAGGTCAGTGTGGAGGTCAGGTTGGGATCAAGGTTGGGGTTGACACTTGACTCCAGCACGCCAGGCTTCCCCATTCCCAGGACCCCCAGAGCATTTGGCACTCCGACTGCAGCTCCTGGAGAATGTTGGAGGATTCTCCTGGAAGAATTGGAGACAAGGAACCCCCACAGTGGCTGCGTGAGGACCTCTGTAATCTGGAGCAGAGCTGGTTGTCGCCAGGTTGAAGGTGAGGCTCATGCACGATGCTTATCCAAACACCACCTCGACATCCCCCTCCCACACCCAGCCTGCCCTGCCAGCTCGCCCAGCACAGGTGGAGTGAAATGGCGCATGTGCGGACAGCATGAGAGGGGCTGGGGTTTGTAAAGTGCCCACGTGTGTGGGATGGGGTGAATACATGTGGCATGCATGTGTTTGTGAGTAGCATGTGTGCATACGTGTGTGGTGGGTACCTCTCCATGTGCATGGTGTTCATGGCTGTGCACGGTGTGTTCAGGGGGTGCAAGGTACATGTCTGTATGTACGTGTGTGTTGGTGCACAGGTGTGGTTGGTGTGCATGTGTGATAACACAGATACCACCCAAGGCATGTACAGATGAATGCACACACCACACAAATACACTTACATCAAACCCACCCAAGGGCACATTACACACACACCACACACAAGTACACATGTGTATGTAGCTCACGGAGGCATGTGTTCCACACACGTAGCTGCATGCACATGTGTCATACACATGCACACTGTGTTCACACCTGCACTACATTTGTAAACACACATCCCACGTGCACACATGCCCTACACATCCACCCACAGGACACATAAGTGCATCTTGCACAAACATGTCCATCATGTGCACACACACATGCCCACACATGAGCCACACAGCCGTACATACTGGTGTACAGCACACGCACACACATCTGTCAACAAGGGGATTCTCAGCCCTTAAGAGTTTGAAAGAATTCATTTGCGAAAAAGCTCTGTCATGCTATCATAGAACTGGGATTTTTAAAAAAATCACTCTACATGCCAGGTACTAATTGGCTCTGCTTCTCAAATTGTCCCAAACCGGGAGCCCACCAGAGGCTGGAGGGCAAGGATTCAAAGTGTCAGGCGGGTGCAGTGGGCGGGGCAGGAGGGTGTCGCTGTCACAGGTGGATGGACGTGGCCGTCATGTCTCTTCTTCAGGGATAGTAGCCACCGTGAGTCAATGAACCTGGGTCCTTAGATGGTTTCCCCACAATGCTCATTACCACCATGTCCTCTCCACACAGAAGCCCTTTCCAGGTGTGGTGCCCTGGACAGGAGGGGCCAGGCCACGTGGCAGCACCAGTTCTTCCACCTCGGTAGAAGTTTGCGCCTGGCTCACCCCGGTGCTGGTGCTCCTGGTCGGTCCATTTCCAAAGCCCCAGGAAACTCAGAACCAGGGTTCTGCTCCCTAGTGGCTCTGCCACCCCTCAGGCCTCGGAGTCCCTGCTGGGTCCCCAGTGGCCAGTCAGCCAGTGGCGAGTAAGCAGAGGATCATGTGGAA